GCCGTACCGAGCCGAACCGAGCCCCGTCGAGCCGAGCCGTACCGAGCCGTGCCGAACGGAGCCGCGCCGAGCCAAGCCGTGTTGAGCCGTGCCGAACCGAGCCGTATCGTGCCGAGCAGAGCCGTACCGTTGCCGAACCGTGCCGCCTCGAGCAATTTCGGTCCCTGCCGCCCTGCTCCGCCCCGGCCCGCCCCGCGCCGTGCCCGTGTCCGGGGCCGCCCGCGCCGCCCCGGCCCGCGCCGAGCGGCCCTGGCCCCCGGCCGGTACGGCCAGGACGGGGCCCGTGCCCCCGATCCGCTGCCCCGGGATGGGGCCGGTCCGACCGCCGCCCCCGCCCCGGCTGGGCTCCGCTCCAGGGCCGGCCCCGGCCCCCGGGACGGAGCCTCATGGGCTGACCGGCCGCTCGGGGGGTGCGAGGGAGCTGCCAGCCGCGCCCCCCCCCGGCTCTTGGCAACCCCAGCCCCCTCCTCACCCCGGGGCGGGGTCACCCGGCTCTGGAGGGCAAGGGAAGGAAACCTCCAGCAATGGTGTGCCCCTGGCAGCCCTTTTCCAGAGGCTGCAGTGGGATGGCTGGGCAGATGCTCCCTCTTGGCCATCCTGCCTGTCTGGGGTGGGCTGCGGCCCCCCAGACCCACAGGGGAGGCCCAGGCCAAGGCATCCCATCCCACAGGAAAGCTGCATGGCACAGGGCTGGGGCTGCAAGTGCACACTGCCAGCGGCTGGAGCTCCTTCCCGGGGAGTGGAGCTGGTGCCCGGTTGGGGCTACGGTTCTATGGGGAGCTGCTTTGTTTGAGGACCGACTGTAACAACAGCCAGTGTGAGGTGGAGAGAGGGCATGAGGATGCGAAAAGGATCTGCTGGCACCCCAGCACTTTCCCCCGAGGCAAGCCATGGTGGGAGCCCAGCAAACACTTTATTGCCAAGAATAGCATTCCCTTCAGCCCCCAGGCACAAAGATGGAGGCTGCCTCACCGTGTCCCACACCAGATTGGTCCATACAGACAAGCAGGTCCTCGGGGCCAAGGGCCAGCCCCAGCACCAGTTGCTCATCCTTGGGTCACCCAGGGGATGGAGAGAGCCAGGCAGCCCAGCCTATGTGACAGGGACACTCCTATAGTACTAAGGCACCGTGCTGTGCTCCAGGACCACCACCCCAAACACTGCCCATGGGCTCCAACAGGCCTGGGGGGCTGCAGACAGCCTGGCTCCCCAGCAAAGGCGGAGGATGCCCAGCAGCCAGGAACAGTCAGGGTGGCACAGAGGGGCCCTGGTGCTCAAATCTCCTGAGATGGCAGAAATAGCTCTCTGCTACTGAAGGACTCTCGCAGCCCTGCACACATTCCAGCAGCATCCTGCTCGCCCCCACGCCATGTCTCTTCTCTCATGTACCTGACCTGCTCACGGTGCCCCTCTGCTCCCGCTCCCTCAGGCCAATGCTGTGTGGGACAGGGGGTCAGCCCGTCCTGGGGGATCAGCCTGTCCCGGGGCACTGTCTCCCCTTGCCCCCGTCAGAGGAGACGTCCCAGGAGCTGAGTGCCGGGAGAGCTGCCCCAGGCCACCGGCAGGGCGACGAAGCCCAGCTTGCTGTAGAAACTCAGCTGCTGCCGATCAGCATCACGGACCTGGCAAAACACTCCTCGTGACCCTGGAAGGGAGGTGAGAGGTCAGGGCACTGGGACCCCAGCTCTGGGACCCCCTCCACAAGGAGGTCAGCCTTTCCACCGCCTCTTTGGCACTGGCTGCCCCTGTGATGCCCTGAGACACAGATACACATGTCCCCCAGTGCAAGGGGAGGAGATGGTGCCTGGGAGCTGGGGCCAGACTGCACCAGAGTGGAGATGGGGAGCCCTGTGCTGAGAGAGGTGGAGTGCAGGTGGGGCCAGCTTCTAACCCTGTGGTGGGCAAGGGAGCAGTTGGGAAGAGGTTCAGCACGGGGAAGTCATGCTCACCGTTTGCCCTGAGTGCACTCAGCAGGCAGAGGGCCAGGCTGCGGCTGGCCCCCACGTCCAGCACACGGGGGGCCGTGCCCAGCTGCACAAGGGAGGGGAAGCG